AATACAAACAACCTGTGAGGTTCAATATGTGTCTATCCTCATTCAACGCGTCTATGTGTCCGGCACTCCAACATCACTCAACCCGTGGGGTTCCAGCAGCTATCCCCACGCAACCCGTCTATGTGTCTGGCAATCTCAAACCTCCCCTTTCCGTGGGGTTTCAGTATACAGCTATAATCACTCAACACGTCTATGTGTCCGGCAATCTCCTACATCACTCAACCTGTGAGGTTTTCGTAAGCAATCCTCACTCCACGCATCCATGCGTCACGCGTCTTTGGTAGCGCATACTATGGGGCTATATTTGGGGTGGCGTGTTTTACAGCGCTTTGCCAACAGCGCCAACCCACTGAAGTCTAGATTGCGGGGGAGCAGGGTCGGCGGGAATAAACAAAATAACCCGAGGGGGGGGGTAGAACGGATAGTGTACATATCGACAAGACAAGCCACCATGAACTGTGATAGCCTCTACCAACATGTGCCTCCCTTTGCTTTGGTTTCTGCTCGAGTGCCGATTTTTTTCCAGAAGCAACTCTTCGGCAGTGAGTGCTCGGCATCTGTTTGGTCCAGCACGTGCCAATCACTTGACCCCCCTTGTGCGCCGTGGGTCGTTTTGATTGTACAGTGTTGTATCATAGATGATTATGCCATGTTCTTGCTTTTGCTCTTAACTTTCAACTGTCCTTTGCTTGACTTTACGTTTTTTTTTTTTGCCACCTATCCCCTCTATTCGGTTGCTTTGCTCACGTGCGAGGCCCTCCCAAATAACGATGAAACTTCCTGCTCGATGGACGTGCACCGCAACTAACGTGATCATGCACTCTTGTCGCATGTGGTACGAAGCCGCTGGAGTTGCCCCGGCCACCCACCGGGCCAAACGCTTCCGCTGGAAATCCCGAGGACGATGTCGAAGAATCCCCCAGGTCTTCTCCGCTTGGCCAAGGCCCCGGCTTACAGGTGAAACGCCTTGCTCCTCTTTTCATCTAGCGTGCAATATTCAAGATTTATTGTCGACTCTTCTGCTCTCTCTCTCTGAACGAGGGTCGGGGTTCCTCCATGTGGCCTTAGTTTGTCGGGGTTCCATTTGGCCTTTGATTTCATGGATTTTCCACGGAAAAAAAACGTTACCACCCAGCCCGGGATACTCCTTGTGCTCGCACTCTCACACCGGGGTATTGTCGGACAGTGACGTACCCAGCTCCATAGCTCCGCGGGCGGGACGCACGCTCCACCGACAGTATTCGGCAGACGGGTGCGGAGAATTTTCTCGGTTGTTCGTTTCCGAGTTCCCGAGGTGGCGTGCGTGTCGACTTTTCTCGATCACCCCAATAAATCGGCCAGACTTACGATCCCCCCTCCACCCCCCCTCTCTACCCATCCGCCGACCCCTTCTCTTTGAGTCATCGCGGGATCTGCACACTACGTTGCGGTAAAGTCACTAGGACACTGCGTCTCCCAGAGGGACTTTTGTTTTGGTTAGATTTCGCTACTATTTACAAGCGCTGGCTCCGCATCTTGCATGACAAGAGCGGGCCTAATGCCGTGTTGGCGTTGTGGCTTGCCTACAGTAGTGCAGAGCAGTCAGTCGGTTGAAAGGGTTGTCGTCGCAGGCTGATTTGCTGCTTCTGTTGTTGTTGTTGTTGTTGTTGTTGTTGTTGTTGTTGTTGTTGTTGTTGCTGTTGCTGCTACTTCTGCTGTTTTTGCTGCTACTGCTGCTGCTGCCGCTGCCGCTCCGCTGCTTCTTGTAATGTTGGTGCTGCTGTTTGCCGCTGCTGCTGCGCTGCTGCTGCTGCTGCTTTTTTACTGCCGATACTTTGTAAATCTTGGAACAGGCGATAGCCTTTGAAGCGGCAGAGTCGGGGAAAGCCTCTCCTTCGTTATCCGGCGGGGCGGGGTGTACCGGGGCGGGAGCGCTATCGCTAGGCGGGGGGTCTCCCATAGTCGATGGCGGAGACTTTTCTGCCTCAGGAGGGCCAAGGATCTGGCGGGTGAGACGAAAGACAGCGATGACACACACACGGCATGACGCCCCCTCACGGGATTTCCAGATCATGGCCTTGCAGAAGTGTTTGTGTTTTCAAGAGCACTGAGACGGGCGTGTCTTCATTGGTCAGCGCGGCCGATGATACTAGTAATGACACACACACGCACGAAACCAGGGGGACCAAAGACTGAGAATAGCAGTAGGAGGCGACTTATTGCGTAGGAGGCAAGATAGGAGTTCTGTTGACCCAGCAGCCTAACTGGTGTACCATTCATCCCTTGGAGTTCGGTGTGTATTACTTTTGTCTGTTGCGGTTTGCTTCCCCTTTTTGGTTGGGTTTGTTTCGCCTCCTGTGTGTGTGAGGCGCTTTACGTGCTTCGTAGCAGCGATTTTCCGCAAGCCACGCGCCTTGCGTCTCGTCTGCCTCCTGGTCGCGGCTTCCGACCTGGAGTTCGATCACGTGGAAGGATGTTCATGTTTCCCCGGACTCGTTCTTTGTTCCGCGTTGGGCTTGAGGGTGAAACCTTTGTGAAGGACGGGCGGCAGCCAACTGGCGCGGCGAAGATGTCTCTGACAAGAGCGAAGCTTTTCCATATCGTCGTCTCGAAAATGGAACACAGCACCGCCCATTGTGGTGTTCCGTAAGCATGGCATTCAGCACGGTTACTCGGCCTTGCTGCTGCTGCTGCTGCTGCTACGGTGTGGCAAACACGCGCCAGCGACGTCACCTCTCAACGAATGCCCTGCGACGCACACACCAGGATGTTATCGGGAATTCCGCAATAATTTCGTCTTGTGTGTGTGTTTTTTTTTTTTCTGCCCTCTCGCCTGACCGACAATTTGCCGCGTCTTTCGAACCCCCACACCTTCACATGACCTCCACATGTCAGGATGTGTCTGCGGGAAGGGAGAACAGTGGTGTAAGGGATTCCAGTGGCGGCGGGGTTAGCGTCGGGGCAGGTGGCGGGGTTAGCATCGACAGCCCTGCCGCCAGGGAGATGAGGGCGGACACGGCTGACTCGACCAGCAGCGATGAGAGCATGGCGGGCAACGCTAGGCTTTCAGGTCGGTAGATGGTGATGGTGATGAAGCTGATGATGATGATGATGATGATGATGATGATGATGATGATGACGATGTTGATGATGATGATGGTGATACTGAGATGATGATGATGAGAATAGTGGTGATGCTAATGGCGATGGTGATAGATAGTGGTGATGATGATGGTGATGGCGGTGATGATGGTGATGATGGTGATGGTGATGGTGATGATGATGGTGATGATGATGATGATGGTGATGGTGATGATAGTGATGATGATGGTGATGGTGATGGCGGTGATGATGATGGTGATGGTGATGGTGATGATGGTGAGAATGACGATGACGACTACGATGCTCTCGACCCCTGTCCTGTCTACACCGCGGCACTGTGTCGGGTGGTGTGTGCGCGTGTTTCGTGGTGGCGAACTCCCTGACCGGGGAACTAGTTAAGATACGCCAGTCTTTCAAGAATCGCGGAATAATAGTGTGCCCGTTCCCTTAGTTTGCATCGACCGCGGTAACCGGCTGACCCATGTGAGGAGGAGGTCTTCGAAGTGGGACAACAAAGGCGGCAACGGTTTCTAGTCATCAGGCTCTTCCGGCAGCTTGCCGTTTTGATGCTTTTCCTGTGAAGCGGGGATTTATGCTTGTTGCCGCGTCCTTTGCTTCTCTGTCCCCTCTCGTGTCCACGTTGTCGGTGGACGAGGGCCCACGCACAGAACGGCCCAAACCTCCAGCGGCGAAGATGGCAGAGGGAGGACAATTAGTTATCCTAACTGTTGTACCACAATCTTACGCCCCCCACCTCTCCGTGCGTCGTTTCTTGCTTGTTGCCTCCCTTCCCCACCCTTGAACCACGGTGCCCCCCCCTCCACGCTCCGATCAGCCCCGGCGATGAAGAAGCAGTGGGAAGAGGCCATGAGCGGGGGCAACACCCCGGAGACTCCGCACAGGTCGAGAAGAGGGTCGACGAGCATAGACGGGAGCGTTGGCCGCGGGGCACCGGGGAATCTCTTCTCTCCATGTGCAGGTGGGGAGGCAACAGCAACCTTCTTGTGTGTGTGTGTGTGTGTGTGTGTGTGTGTGTGTGTGTGTGTGTTATTTTTTGTTTTGGGGAAGACGACGCAACGAGTGTTGTTGGAGATGGCGGGGGCGTTTTCATGTTGTGCATGGCTAAGATGTTAGATGTTTTCAGACCTAAGGCAGGGGGTGCAACGCGCCGACTGTTGCTGAAACGGTCGTACGTGGCGGATGGGGTTGTGCGCTGCTGCTCCTGGGTGGTAGGTGGTGACTCTGAACTTGTTTGTCAGCTGCGGTCGTTTTGTGTGCTTTTACTGCGCCGTGTTTTACGGTGACACGATGATGACGCCGAGAGTGATATCAGAGTTGCCAGGCGAGGCATGGCAAAGGAACTACACCCGAGTAGCTGCTGGTCACGTGAATGCGCCTCCCCACCCGTCCTCGCACGCGTGTCTTGGCTTAATCCCTATCTACCCAAATTAACCCCTCTCCTCCCCCCCTGCTTTTGCTACTTCCTGAACGGCCCAAAGACCGAAACTTCTCCCATTTCCCTCAGGTGCTTCTAGAAACAACCCGATCAATGGTCTAACAGCTAAGGCATATACATCATGAGTTACCCTTCAACTTCGGCGTGTACTTTTTGTTTTTATGGACCACGCATCATCATCAGCCCGGGGACTCGGGTCGTCCTTCGGACCGGTGGAAGGCGTTGTCACCAGGACCGGCCGGGCGGGGTCGGTGAACGGGGTCGGCGGTAGCGTCGGCGGCGGCGTCGGCGGCGGTAGCCTCAGCCTGAGCGGCGGCAGCATCGGCGCCGGTCTCGGCGGCGGCGGCGGCGGCGGCGGCGGTGCCTCGATCTCCGTCCTGGGGACCCATCTGCGGACGTACGGGTGGGTGAGGGACGAGGAGGTGTCGGAGTGCATGAACGCCTGCGGGACGGAGTTCACCACCCTGGAGAGGCGCCACCACTGCCGGTGCGTTCGTTGCTTGTGGTTTTACGCATTTGGTGTGCGGGCGCACAAAGCGGGCGCATGATTTTATCGCCTTCCTTTTCGGCTAACGTTGTGGTACGCGGCGGGAGGATCTGTGCACGTATCAACAACACAGGAAAAAAGAAAAATGAGTTCATGGGCCGGGGCGGGCCCTACCGCCGCCAGTTCGCTCGTCCGTTGCTTTTGGTGCCAAACGCTCGTAGTCTGTTTTTCGATTGTCTGCGTTGAGTTTTTTTTTGCGATCGTGATGAACACCCGCCCCCCCACCAAACGAATAGCTGTCGTCGGTGGCGGGGGGCGTCTGTGCTATATTTTGAAATATAACGACCTTTGAAGCATCCAGAGAACACTGCTGTGGTGCGGGAGACGAATTGCTGTCTGTGTTGCCGCCCGTCTACCCTCGGCGCTATCTATGACGCCTGGCAGGTGGGATGCGTGTGTCTATTTAGGAGGAGTGTTTTTGGTCTCCTTTTCGATGTTCTGCAGGAGGTGGTGGGGTTTGCAATGATTCCTCACTACGTCGTCGGTTGTATTCCTCTCTTCTGGCTAATAATACCGCAAGGTACGTGAACTTTCGTTTTGCTTGTTGCCCTTCCTGTGGCTGTTGTCGTTACCCTTCCTGTGGCGCCGTAGCTCGTTTGGTTTGCGCGTCTATTTTGGGGCTAGGGCTTCCGCGACGTGCCTGGGCACCAGCCCGGGTAGCTGTCCGGCTGTCTTGAGAGACGAAAGGCCTCGCCACACTCGGTGCACTAAACATGATCGAACGTCCTGAAATCTTGTCGGTGATTCTCCACCTCCCCTCATACGTGCTTCTGGCATCGCTTTGACCGTACACACAATCATCCGTGTGTCCGTCGCACGAACACTCTGCTGGCGAATAAATGAACATGCGGGGTAGAGGCGCCACCTCTATTTTTTTGTACAATCGAGGTGCAGTCGACTTTTTCTTGCTTCAACTTCTCGGGTGGAGGAAGGCACGCCGGGTCAGGTCGGGTTCAACCTAGTTCACCGGAGCTGTGACATGTTCTTATCTTAGCCTTCCGCTCGCGACGCATCGCCATCAGCGAACCTGGAGTGTTGTTTGTCGATTGGTCATGGAATGTGCCGAGTATGGTGCGGAACCAGCTTCGCTGGCGAGATGTGGAAGCAAGTAACTCACCATACCGACAAGCAGCAATCTCGCTTCCTCCAAACCTGCCCCTTGTTGCCGCGGTTGCTGTCTGTCGCTGTTGTTGCTTGCTGTTGCTGTTGCTGCTGCTGCTGCTTCTGCTGCTATTCCTGCTGCTATTGCTGCTGCTACTGCTGCTTCTGGTGTCCAGATGCTGCGGGGCGATATTCTGCCAGACCTGCAGCCGGCATCGTTGTCTCGTGCCGGAGCCAGTCACCCCTCCCGGAAAGGATCCCCTAGATCCGACAAGGCCTCACAGGGTATGCAACGCCTGCTACGCCGACGTCCAGGCGTCTCAGGTACGGCTCTCTGCCGCTGCTGCAACGAAGGCTTTCGTCATCGCTGTTTACAGCCTTCCGTCGATTGTTCTCTGCCTGGTGTCGACTGATTTATCGGTGTGCTGCCGATGCTGCGGCTGTTCGATGCTGCCGGCGCTGACTGTATGCTTGAGGTTGCCCAGGTGTTGCGTGCGGTCGCGTCGCGCAGTGTTTTTGTTTGGTGTCCGTACAATTTCTTCGCAGAGCTTCGAAACACGAAAAATGAACTAAAAATTAGTTGCTGCGCCGCTACACCACCATCCGGGACCTCCACGCATCTTGTGGGATACGTAGATGCACTGAAATTCGAATCTTCGTTGTGATGAATCAACCAACGGGCTGTACGTGGGTGGGAATTTCGAGAGAGCCCTATGCATGCTCTGGTGCATCATGATGCTTCTCTCTCTTCCCAATACTCCCCCCCCCAACTGTGTTGCGCTTTCCAGTCTTTCCACCTTCTGCTACTTCCGTCGTCGCGCCTGTGGCTAGGCATTCTGGCATTTCTCCTTCGCCACACGGGCATATATTCACCGAATCAGTTCCCCCCCAGTCACAGCACTTGGCCTTTCGTTTACCAAATAGTGCCACCGACCCTCGGTGTTTGCCATCGGGGTTGGGTTTTCGTCGCTTGGCAACGACGTTGTAAAACAAGCCG